GGGCCAGCTTCTTGGGGGTCATCAGGATCTAGAGGGGGTAATGAGGGCAAGGCCTCCAAGATGGAATTAATGGTTTTATTTCGCAGGAAACAGAGACGTCGGCGAGCACCTTTGCTGTAGCCATGTGACGCCCGCACTGCGTCAGGGTGCATCACACCGGAAGTGGGCAGGTGGACACCGGCACCACGACCTTGGCTCCCCGGCTTCAGAGGTGTAAGTCAGACAAACTTCCGTTCTTTGCACATTACCTGGCCGCAGTGAGCATTATGCTGCCCGAGTGGAAGCAAAGACACCGTCAGAAACTGTGAGGGTCGTGTCCAAAGCGCTCACAGCCACCACGACGCCCCCACCAGCTGAAGATGGCGGCTTCAGCACAGTGGTGAGGAGCTGACGTCAGCAGCTGTCCAAATGCCTGAGGTCACAATGATGCAAAACCAGCACGCAGCGGTCCCCTTGGGAACAAACTCATTGTGAGAAAGGCAGAAAAGGGTGAAAAAAATAAAATGTCAGTCCAGTTGTTCCTAAATGAACTCTACCGAGGGTAACCAAACGGTTGCTGAGCAGAACTTTCTTTTTATGCACGTATCCCTGCTAACAGGCAAGTGAAAGGGTCACAGTGCCATTACATGACAAATCCCTAATAAAACAACAAGTACGGCAGTCACTAATGACCACTACATAACATCCAAGAAGGACCGAAGGGTCTTCAGATGTCTCCGCCACCTCACACAGGATGGCCTGGCCCCCAGCCCAAGCCCACATCTCGTCAAGGGTCTAAATCCACCCAACTGAGAAATAACAGGAGCAGAGGAACATACTGAATGATGCCCTGTGGTCATCCAAGTCCAGAGGGTGGAGCCTGCGGGACACACGGCCAGGTTTCTGCATTGAAGTGCGGGGAAGGCTGGGAACGCGGCTCCGGTAGAGCGCCTGCCTTGCATGTTTGACCACCAGCACTGAAAAACAATCTCTAAAAATAAACAGCAAAGAAGGAGAAAGAAGGAAGCCAGCCTTGTAGGCTAAAAAAAGACTTCACAGGCCTACCAGCTGATCATTCTAAATGAACCTGGTTTGACTCAAATCAGAAATTAGACACTAACTGGAGGAATCTATATATCAACTAGCAAATTAGTGGATGCTAAGAGGTTGTTAAGTCTTAAAAAATTTTAGGTGTAATAAATGATATTTTGGTGACGTATTTAAAAGACACATTTTTTTTTTTTACTTTTGGTGGCACTAGAGATTGAACCCACAGCCTTTGGACTGAGTTATATCCCCAGGTCTGTCTTTGATTTTCTCTTAAGATAGGATCTTGTTATGTTGCTAACTTGCTCAGATTGGGCTTGAATTTGCCGTCCTCTTGCCTCAGCTTCCTGAAGCGCTAGGATTACAGACATGTGTCATAACACCTGTCTTAAAAGGTGGCTTTGAGTTTTAAATATTTACACCAAAATATTTACCAAAAAATTAAAATGATATAATTTGCTCCCAAATAATCCAGGTGGTGAATAGGTGGGAACCGAGATGTTTACAGATAAGAGAAGATTGTTTATGATTTGCTAACTGCTGAAACCGGGTGACTGGTACATGAGGTCCCTATTATTTTACTTTTGTGCAATGTTTAAAATTTTTCCAAGATAAAAAAGGTCAAAGATCATTTCAAGGGAGATTTATTTCATGATTTAATGACATGGAGACACGCTCATGAAATGGCAAGGATGGAAAAAACTATAAAGCTGGTATTACACTCACATAAGCAATACTGAGGCCAAAAGGAGAAAATTCAATATAATGTTGAATTAGGGTGATCTAACGTGTGGTTCTCACCTCCCGTATCTTTTCTGATTTCCACAGTGAGCAGGTCCTTACTTTACCATCCCAGAAATATATCTCTAAAAGCATTTAGCTTGACTTTGTCAGGACAGGCTCAGCTATTACTTTCACAGTGTGTTTATTTCTGCTTCAGCCTAATCACTTCCAACAGTCTCCCGCCTGGCCGTGAACCCAGAGAGCTTCCCTTCCACAGAATCCCGAGATGATCACATAAACAACCTACAGTAGGCCTCATACAGAAGGACCTTTCTCCAGCCAAGACTGACTGACAGAGCACGCAGCTGTTTATCCCAAAGGGAAAATAACAAAGTGGGAAAAAGTCCTCTGCGAAGATGAAGGCAGAGGACTGTCCAGGAGGGGAGAGCTGGCACTCGGGGACTCTACCTCCAGCTGGATGGAGCCAGAGGTGGCCACGACCTCCAGCCGTGAAGAACAGTGAGTCTGTCCCCGGACACACACGCCACCAGCAATGCTGTCAGACAGAAAAAAATCACCCTACCAACTTGCGAGTCCATACTGGCAAATACAATTTGGGTTTCCGGAGAGGCCATGGAACGTGAAATAGTACAAGGTGTCCACTGGCCATGGCTTCGGAGTCCAGTCAGGTAGCTCAGTGGGGAGGGCTTGCCTGACACATGTGGGGCGCTGGGACTGATCACTAGCACCGCAAAAAAAAAAAAAAAAAATGTAAATAAATAAACTCCTTTAAAAGCTGTAGCTTCCAAAACGCTTTGCCATCTAATCGGACAAATGCCTGCCCTACCTAACTACCTGCTGTACCAATGGAAATCGGCAAACTGCTGGAGGCCTCCTCTCCTCCTCTTGCTTTACCCCTCTCCCAAGTACGGCTTGGATAATTTTTTATCTGTCACATTTTATAAACGGCCTTGCCAGTCCTATGCTGCGAGGATATAAGAAAAGAAAAACCACCCCGGGGCTTGCCGTGAGGTTTCCGGCCCTTGAAGGTGGGAAGGAGCCGCCTAAGCTCTCCCTGGGCCCTCCCCTCCTGTTTACTGACATCCCCCTTCAGGCAGGCTGGAGATGGCACCATAGTAAGAGGACTTCCCACGGGGAAGTCTGAGGCAGCACCTTCAGAGTGCATCAATCTCCAACACAGGCTGCGGACAAAACAAGGCCCGTGGCAGCTTAGCAGCAGGACCCGGCCTTCTGGAAGGCCCTGCCGGGGGCCTGGCTGCCGCCCAGGAGCCGAGTTCCCCCTGCAGCCTCCCCGCCGCCAGCCGGTCACCTCCCTTGGCCTCGTGGCCCAAAGGACTCTGGGGCTGTGGTGCTGCAGGCCTGGCCGTCTTCCTGTCACCTCCGGACAGTCATGCCGTTCCTGCCACGAGGGCAGCCCTGACAAGGGCAGGCTCAGCACCCGCCAGAGAAGAGGGACTTGGTGGAGGAGGTAGAAGAGTAGGCAAACACGCATAACCTCCGTCCAGAAGCCCCTCTGGCTGGCAACCCGGGGCGTCTGCCTCACTTCTCCAGGCCTCAGTGCTCAGGACAGAGGTTGTGCGTGTTTTCCTACTCAGCATAATAGGGGTGCAAATTCTAGAGTGTACACAGTGAATTCTAAACCGGTTCATAAAGGATCTGAAGGCAGCTGTCAGGGAAAGAGGGACAATTCTGGTGCGGGAAGGAGCAGCCCCCAAAGGTTCCCAGCCACGCGCTCGGACAAAAGGCTGCAGACCTAGTTTTGAATCAGCACCTCTGCTCAACACGAGCACCTAGTGGGGGCTTCTTAGATTCCCAATGGAAGGGAGGGGAAATAATAACAAAAGCAGCCATATACGCAACTTCTGCCGTGGCCGTGCATGACAGACACTTCCCATAATTTACTGGCCGTTTTATTATCACCACTTCACGGATGACACCAAGTCTCCCGGAGGTTAAGTCAGAGGGCTTTTCCCAGCAATCAGACCCAGTGCCCAACCCAGCCTTTAAACAAAAGCAGCTGCTGCATTTACTCTGCTCAGTAATGAAAATTCAGCATTCTTCTGCCATTGATATAACATACAGGGTGCTTTTCATATTGATTCCTTTTATCTTTGCATTGGAGGCTAAGATAAACCTGTATGCATTTAACTTATTTCAGTTGTTTAAAGGAATAAAGAACAAAAGAAAAGAATCTGTATTAAATCAGGCACAATAAGAGGAAACATTTTTAACAAAATATTATGGTAAGAGCTTCGGGTTTCTATAAATCACTCCCATTCAGCTCTGAAATCCCTAAATTACTATTGTTGTGCTATTCAATATCCCCCATCCATAACAGCTGATGAAAATGCAGAACCAGGCCAAATTCAGAGCTGGAAAAATTTTTAACTTAATTTGGACTCTGCATTACAGAAATGGCAAAACAAAACACACACACACACACACACACACATACACAAAAAACCAATCAAAACCTTCCAGGATTTAACAAATTTCACTACAAATTAGAAGGCAGATCCTTTCAACAATTAGAGGCCTGTATGAAAAGAGTGCTTTCCAAATCAAATTTCTCAGAATTTTCATTAACAAATGTCTCCGTGGTTCTCTCCTCAGAATTGGAGCCAAGAGGAAAATTGGTGTGAAAATTAGTGAACATTATAAAGGGCAGACAACTGCCGAGGGAGGAGGAGGGGGACAGGAGGGCCGCATTTGCTATTTATTTGGAATAATTAGCAAAGCAGAACCAGCTGAAGGCTGGCACCACGTACCTTGCCCAAATGTTGTGGAGAGCTGACTGTTCAAAGGGCCAAGTAAGTGGATGGTTAGGTGCAATTTCACGCCTCAATGCACAGCCAAATAAGGGGAATTTTTTTAAGTGTAATTGAACTTTTGCAATGCCGCTGAGCTTTTTTTCTTGAAGATTCCAACTATTTTGAGAGCTGTACACCTTTCAGTTACAGTGAGGGTTTTTACAACAGACTGGGTCATGTACAAGCAAAAGAAAGATTTCTTTCTCTCACTGCGGGAGAATTCACAAACATTTCTGTACTTTAGATGTTTGCAAAAGCCCCACTTGTCAGCAGATGTGTGGAAATACGTTTATTTACTCAAAAAGCCAGGGCTGAATACGGGTTTCATTCCCGCCCCCACCTTCCCAAACGGATGCTGTGAAGTTGGGTGGAGCAGTTACTGGCTCTGGGAAGGGGGTACTTGGAGCAAGAGGGAAAAAGGGCAGCCAGAGAGGCCAGGATGAACTGGCGGCACACACGTACTGAGCGCTGACCGCATATCACGCCTGGTCCTAAGGGCTTCGGAAACACCAAGCCCCGTCAGGTGACTGTTGCAATATGTTTCGCGGCCGAGGACACTGAGGTAGGAGAAGCTGACGCCTTCCTTGAAGGTCGCACAGCAGGGAACAGCTCCCCAGGGAGGCCTCCCCGTGCTTGCTGGCCCCCCTGCAGGCCCTGCCATCATGTACACACATGGGGTCTGGATGGAGCAGACGTCGTCTTTATAAACAAGCAAGAGCTCAAACATCTGGCCCTTCCTCTGCAGCCAGATGCTGTGCAGGTCCAAGCCCTTTGGCCTGCCCTGTCCACACGGGATAAATACCAGGAGCCCTCCTTCCCCGGGATACCGGCCTGGGGTTCCTGAGGCCACAGGTGAGGAACAAGGCTCTCTGCGGGCTTCCGGCTGTGTCCAAGGGTGCCGCAAGGAGGGGAATCTGCTGCCCGTCAGCAAACCCTGTGCCCTACCTCCCAGGCACGCAGCGTTTAACATGCACCTTCACCATCTGCAGCTGGACAGCTCGGGGCGTTAGCGCCTTCGTGTTACTGCGCAGCCATCGCCACGGTCCATCTCCAGAAGCTCCTCGTCTTCCCCGAGTGAAGCCCTGGCTCCCTCGCACCCTAACTGCCCGCTCCCAGCCCTGTGGACCTCCGTTCTCCGTGCCTTCTCTGAGCCTGCCCCCGCTGGGTGCCTCCTGTTAGGGGGATCCCACGGCGTCCGTCTTCTGGCGGCTGGCTGGTTTCCTTAGCACAGAGTACCCCTGTGTCTGCTGTGTGGGAACGCTCCTTCTCGCGGGGCTTGGTGGATGGACACCCCACATTTGCTTTGTCACTCATGTGGTGACAGTCGCCGGATGCTTCCATCACACACCCTGCGTAGACACAGTGTCTTCTCTCCGGAGCAACACACAGGACCGCGAGAGCTCAGTGTTTATAAGGCCCTGTCCCCCGGGGTCACCTGTGACGGCCGTGGCTGCCACTCAGCCCGATGGTGGAGATGCTAGAGCGTCCCACTTTAACCGTAAGGAACCCCGAACGTGGGTTTTTAAGGTACAACTCCTAAAGTTTTAAACTGTTGATACTTCATCCAGATGCTCCAGAACATCGTGGAAGTCACACAGAACTGGCCCGGGAGCTGGGTTTGGCCCTTGGAGCCTCGGCATGACCCGGGCCTTCTAACAATTCCAGGAAGCGGGGTTCGGCAGATGAGGAAGCAGAGTTCAGGGAGGCTAAGTTGCCCAAGACTGCCTGGCAGGGCCTGTATCTGGACACAAGCCTTTAGTGCTAAGTCCGTGTCTTTCCTGAACGCTCCAGCAGCAGGTGTGAAAATGCTTTGTGAGTGACAGCATGGGCCATGCACTTCACACGTGGTGTTAACGTAAGCAAAGAGATGCCTTTGAGTGGGGCCCTAAACAGAGTGCATTAGATTTAAAAATCTCCCAAGCCCCAGCCAGGTGGGGGATGTGGGTCTTACTGCGGGCTCTGACCTCCCAGGGGCAAAAGAAAAGAGCACTTGCACCTCCATGGCAGGGCCGTGTGTGCTGAGCCCATCAAAAAGCTGAGCCGGCCTTCCAGCTGTTAATCAGGACTCTGGCAGGTCCTGTGCCGATGCTTCCGAGACTGGAGCACAGGCTGCCATGAACCCCCGGGTTCAAAGGCCAGATGCTCCCTAGCTTGACCGGACTCTCAGACCCAGGATGCTGGGCTCCTGCAGGCTCAAGGAGGGGTTAAATGGCACATCTGTTTTCTCTCTCAGAAGGTCGACAACAAAGGCGCGGTTTAAAAGCGTTCTCCTCAGACACAGATAACCCTCTGACACCGCCTCTGCACAGCCTGCTGTGTGGCACCACCCCGAGACCCTCCTGGGGACAGAGCCCAAACCTGGCGCCTGCGCACTGCTTACAGGACACGCCAAAGGAAGAGGCCCTCCCCGGCCATGGTGTGCGTTCAGGTCCCCTCTGGAGCCCTGTGGAGATCCCTGCCCCCCGAGAGCCACACTCTGCGGGCAGCACGACCGCTCTAAACGTAATGCATAAGTGGGATGGCTAGTGTGTCAGAAGGTGGCCACTACCACAGGGGCCTGGAGGGGGAGAAGCAGGGAGCCGTGATGGCACGCATGGACCAGGGACCCACAGGGAGGCTCTCCGATGGCCCCGTCCACTCCTGTTCAACTCTGGGCCTCCGGTTTAGGTCTCTGCAGGGCACAATTCAGAGAGCAGAAGAGCGAGGCACTCAAGGAAGACGTCCACGAGGCAGGGCTGGCCTTCCTGGTGGTGAGTCCCCTTTAGAGTCGGGCGTCTCGCCCTTCCCTGCACGCCGCCCTCTCCTCCTCGTTCCTGAACCGCGTGCTGGTCAGTGACCCCCACGCGTCCCACTTTGCGAGACGCACACCCCGCTCCATGCCGAGTCCCGGCGCTGTGGTAACCTGAAGTCACTCACCACAGCCACTGGCCCTCAGTCCCCACAGCCTGAGATGTGAACACTGGTGGGGCTCTCGGCGTGTGTGCAGTGTGTCTGCCACGGTGCGGGCCTGTGCAGCGTCCTCGGCTGCGGCTCTGCTGTCTTTTTTTTTTCTAGTACTGGGAATTGAACTCATAACCTCACACTTGCCAGGCAGGTGCTGTGCCACTGAGCTAAATCCCCAGCCCCCAGCTCTGCTGTCTTGCGGGAGGGGTCAGAGGGCTTCGTGCCACCAGAGTGAAGGTGGCCAAGGAATCCTGCGGGCCGCTCGTGTCCACTCGGGTGTTGCCAAACCTGCACCCCACTGCTGCCCCCCTTTGTGACCCCTGCCAAGGCCAGGTACCCCTTCTAATACTGACTTAATATCAGTCTTTAAATTGGCCCACGTTTTTCCACTTAAACTCATTTAAAAAGCAAACGTTATACACGCTGGTAAACAGAAAACCAGTTCCACTGGCCTAAAATAGAAAGAAACTCTAAAAATAAATACAAGGCAGGGAAGTTATTAAATTATAACCAGATACGGCAGCGTGGGGGAGGCTAGCAGGCTGAGGCTGGCTCTCTTTTTGTGTTAAAAAAGGGGAATCAGCAAGTGCCGGAGAGGCCTCGAGGACGCACTGGCACCCCCACGAGCTCTCGGGGCATCGCTGGGAAGGCCCAGGGGGAGGCAGGGTCACTTCGGGCCCCGCTGTGCATCGTGCAGCGGCTTTCGCGCGTCACAGCCCTCACTGCATGAGAAGCTGCCAGAGGCGAAAGACGCTGCGGGACCCCCAGTGCCGGGAAGAAGGCACAGCTTCGAGGGGTGGCTACTGTTCCCGGACGAAGTGGACAGTAACGGGCGAGGTGCAAGGGGCACCATGCAATCCACATGCCGGTGATCGGAAGCGGGAGGGTCAGCCACAGCCGCAGCCCGCGTCTCCCGGCTTCCTGGGACACACAGGACCCTGGGGAGCATCGTCTGGTTCGGTCCGCACCATGGCGAAGGAGGGAGCTGCCTCCCTCCTCCGTGAAGGCCCGGAACGGCGGACCCCCCCCTCCCCCAGCCAGCAGGGTGCCGAGCCCTCCGGTCCTCGCAGGTCCCAGCAGCAGGCAGCGTGGGGACGAGCCTCAGGTCTGATATTGAGCAGCACCTCGTTCCTCTGGACTGTGTGCTGGGGATGGGATCCGGTGTTTCCTTTGTAAATTCCCAACTTTTTAAGATTAAAAATGTTATTGTGGAAGAGAATACACAACATAAAGTTTCACGTCTTAAATCTTTTTTTTTCAGTACTGGGGACTGAACCCAGGGCCTTTTCACCAAGCTACATCCCCCCACAATCCTCTTTTTCCCTTTTTCATTTTGACACAGGGTCTCACTAAGTTGCTACAACTAGTCTTGAACTTGTAACCCTCCTGCCTCAGCCTCCCAGAGAGTTGGAACTACAGGTGTGTGCCACCATACCAGCTGTCATAGTTTTGGGGTTTTCACAAGGGGAACAATTTAATACAGACACATATTTTATAAGATTATTTATAATAGTCACCCAAAGAATCAATATACAAGAGAGTGCAGGAAATCTGTCCACACACTAAAGACCTAGATTCCACAGTAATGCTCTGCATGAGTTCAGCTGAAGAGCCTGTAACAATGCCTCCCATGAGTCCAGCTGGAGGCCCAGAGCCTGGGACAATGTCTCATGTCTCTCCCTGTTTCACAAATCTGCACTGGGAAGGCCCAAAGATCAATGGTGGAATCTAGAGGGTCTGTGCCAGCGGGATGAAGGATCTGTGCGAGCAGGCTGAGGGATCTGCACTGGAGCCAGGAAGCGACACTCAAAGTAAGAGCCAGAGCTCCCCCGAAAAGTACCACAGCCGTCCTCAGCAACAGTGAGGTCCCGAGCGCCTCCTCCAATGAGAACAGCTGAATTCATCAGGAAAGCCAGCATGACAAGCTCCTCCCGGAAAACCAACAGCTTCCCTACAGCACCCAACAGCACCCAACAGCACCCAACAGCTCTCCTCAGCTCCCAGCACCCTCGACTTCTCCTCCAGCTCTGCCTCTTATGCTGCTGGCAACAACCCTCAGGTGGGCCTCCCACAGCCAGCACCACGCTGGTTCAGTCCAGCTGGGGGTTACAGGTTGACCGCCCGTTGTCGTCCGCCACACCAGCATAGCCATTTCTAAGTGTGCAGATCAGTGGCATCTATGCATTCACACTGCCAGGTCACCACGGCCACAGCCACCTCCAGAACTAGCCCCACGCCCCAAGCTGAGACGCTCCCCGCTAAGCACTACCTTCCCCAGCCCCTGGAAACCGCTGATCTGCTTTCTGCCTCTATCAGTGAACTATTCTAGGTACTTCGCATACATGGATCACACAGCATTCACTCTTTTGTGACTGGCTTTTTCACTCAGCAGAATGTCCACAAGGTGCATCCATTTTGTAGCATGGGTCAGAATTTCCTGCTCACCTTCTTTTCTCCCCCTTTGAGACTGGATCTGATTATATTGCACAGGCTGACCCCCAACATCTGAGTTTAAGTGATCGTCTTGCCTCAGCCTCCTGAGTGGCTAGGACTGCAGGCCTGTGCCACTGCATGGTCTTCCTTTGCAGTGATGAATAATATTCCATTGCACACATGGATCACATTGTGTTTATCCTTTCATTCACAGATGGACATCTGGACGCCTTCCACCTTTGGGCCATTGTGAATGCTGCTGCTATGAACATATGTGTCCAAAACTCTGTTTGAGTTTCTGCTTTCAATTGTCGGGGCGGATAAATTCCCAACTTTAAATCTGGTTCAAAAGGCCCTTATTTCTACTGGGACATTGCCCAGGGGAGGGCTCCCTCCCTTCCTCTCCCACCCCCACTTCCACGGTTAGTCTGTGCGGTGGTCCACAGACCCTCTCTCCGGGATGGGGTCACCTCAGCGCCTGTGGGCTGACTTCAGGGCCCACCCCATTGCCAAAACCAAGGAAGCTCAATCCCTTCAGGCAGGACGTCAGCATCGGTGTTGGCACGGAGCCTGTGGCCGCCGCCTGGGTACCGAGGTCACCGCTAGAAGACGGAGCAGCTAAAGCGAGGTAAGCGCCATGTGAGTCTCTGTTCTGTGCAGCGCTTAGGGAACAGCGGCAAGTAAAAGGTCTGCAAGCGTTTCACACGTGTGCGGTCTACCCCAAACGCTCTTCTCTGCAGCTGGGCGAACCCGCAGAGGCAGGCCCTGCACGTCAGAAGGCCGACTGCATGGTCCCTACAAGCCCCGCCGCATTTGACAAGGACCGCAGAACACTGCACCCAGCTTCCGGGGGAGAGTGGGCTCCGGGGTGGACGTGCAACAGAGAGATGATGCAGGAGCTGTGCCGTCGGGGGCCCTGGCTCTGCAGGCCGCTCTCCTCAGAGGCCCCGAGGCCAGCAGCGCCCTCAGCCCACCCTCCCCCCAGGAAAGCTGCTGCCAGTGAGAACCAGCGTCCGTCCGGAGGCGGGAAGGGACTTTCCTCCCCGCAGCCCAGGGGGCCACGCAGGAACCAGGGGCAGAAATGTGGCGAGTGGTTCATCCAAACAGCCCAGCGGGCCGAGGTCTAAGAGAAGCTCTTGTCAGGCTAATGTGATTTTCTTTTTCTTTTTCTCTGGCACTTCTGCACCCCCGCCTCGCTTATTGTAACCGCCATGATACGGTCCACTCAGCTTTAGGTGTTTCCCCCCAAGCGCCCAAGAGCGCGAGCGGTCCCTCCGGCCCTGTAAACGCCAGACTCCATCCTCCGCGAGTCTGGGGCTGGACACATCTGCTTGACAAACACAGGGCAGCTGTGGGGCCAAACTCATAAATTAGCGGAAAGCCCTGGTGGTCAACATCTGGCTGAGCCTTCCTTCTGCCTCTTTGGGACTGTGGCTGGCTTGCAGCTGACCAGCTGGGGTTGAGTCCTCTTCCAGGGCAGCTATCCTGAGTCCCAACTCCACCAGCTCACTTTCCCAGACCCGTGTCCTTCCTGAGCCAGGACCCAGCATCCGTGGGACAGTGCGGTGTGGTTGGCGAGCGGGCCGGGATCCCCGTGGTGATAGCTCCCTGCACACCCAGCCCATCAGTTAGAACATCTTCCCTGCTCCAGAGGCTGCTGACAACTGTCCCAAACCCCACGAGCCGGGCAGCAGCCCTGGCCCCTGACGACGCACACCTCCCATCTGAAGCCAGGGCCAAAGCTGCCTTAATCCAGAAGCCATGGCAAGCAGCCAGCGATGAGCAGAGGATCAGGGCTGAGCAGAGCTTCCTGCCCCCAGGGAGACAAGACGGGAAAGATCCAAAGCCAGGCCCATGAACAGGTCAGAGGACGGGGCAGAACCCAGAGACGTAAGACAGGAAGGTGGAGGGAAACCAGAATGTGGATCAAAGTCAGAGCCACTGGGAGAATGCCTCGATCAGGCTACCCAAGCATCGCACTTGGCTGGAAAGCTGCAAATTTCTCCAGACGTCCTGGATGGCCGCTGGTCTGGAAGTGTCTGGACTCTCACAGAAGACGGTGGCTTTCCCTCAGGACGCGGGGCTGGATACCTCCTATCCCAAGTAGCCGGCCTTGCCTCCGGGACCCACGCTGAAGGCTGCATGGGAGAAGCCCATCTGCAGCAGTTGCCCGGGGAGCCTCCAGGGTCCCCATGTGCTGCCATCCACTCCCGGTTCTCCTACATGATGGCCATTCCTAAGTCTTCCTTCTGTGCAGGTACTGGAAGACGCAGCCAGACATACGTGAGGTCATGCTTGAGTGTCGGCGGATCGGATGAAGAGACTCCTGCAGAGGAAGTTGGCTTTCGAGGGAACTAACCTTACGCACGGGTTAACGCACAGCTGAAAGGGCTGTTGGAGGTGGGGTCTAGTGGAGGTCGTGGGTCTCTGGGCGTGTCTTTGAGGGCTGCCTCTCTGCCTGGACTCTCTTCTGTTCACTGTGCTGGCTCACTGCCGTGAGGGGAGCAGCCCTCCTCCGCCACGACGCGCTTCCCCCAAGACGTTTCTGGCTAGGGACTCTACCCCGGAAACCGGAAGCCAAAATAACCCTTCCTCTTTTGAATTGTGTCTGTCAGGTATTTTGTGTGTGTCAGCAATGGAGAGGTCACCGATACCAACTTCGCACTCTCAGGTCCATGCGGCACATGAGGAAGTTCTGAAAAACCACCTGTCACAGAGACAGGCATGTCAGCACCACCTGGGGAGTCCTGAGTCTGCTGAGCTCCTCAGCACTCTTCGAGGACCCTGTAAGGAGCAGCTAACAGCTACCTCTACAGCTGTGGCCAAGGTGTGGTGCCGTTCCCAGAAGCTGCAACAGTGGGCACCGGATCGCTGTCTGTCTGTCTGTCTGTCTGTCTACTTATCTGGCTAATTCTTACAGACAGGGGCAAACACCTTGCTTTCAGACCTGTCTTTCTCAGCAAACCCAACCAACCCAAAGCCCGTAGCCCCGCTGCCGTTACCTAACTCCCACACACCAAGCCAATAGTTCCCCCGCCCTAAATCACCCCAGCGCCAGCTCCCAAACTACTGATGGCCACGCCTAATGCTCAGAGCCTACAGAAACCGTTTGAACCAGGGGTGGAAAACCTGCGGCATGCGCGCTGCAGCCAGCTGTGTGTTATCACTGAAAGCCCCAAAAGTTTCGCCGTCACTGGTTTAAACTGTCCGTCCTAACCTTGCTCAGCCTGCCTTCCTGCCACTCGCCCTCCTCCTCCTCCAGGGGAAGGCTCTGGCCCGCACTGTCCCTCGTGTCCTCCTCTCAAGACCCTGGTGCTTCCCCACACAGCCCCACGCCCCATGCTTGCTCCTCCTCTTGGGAACCGTACTGCTAAACTCTATTTTCAAGACTGTCTCCTCCATATCAGTTATCTTACAGTACCTGGTTATAATAAAGCCCTGGGTACTTTTAAAAACAACCCCAAAGATAAAAGGGCTGGGAGAGGGTGCAGCTTCTTGTCCTCAGAGAGAGCGAAAGCTGCGTGGAGAAGCTGTGTGAAAGGGGCCGGGGGTACAGCTGGTCCCCAGTGGCCTTCAGGAGGGTCCTTGAGACCAAACCACAAACCACAGCCCGTACAGTCGGCCTCCACAGCAGGGTGGACGAGGATACGGTACATCTGGAGATGCGGATGCCTGGGGCACTTGAGCCCTACTCCAGGAAAGTGTGACTCAGCAGGTCTTGGGAGGGGCCTGAGAATTTGTCTTCGTGGCTTCCCAGGCCTGTCTGGTGCACATCATGAAATGTAAGGTATTGCAGTAT